CCATTGGAATGTTAAGTGCTTTACTCAATGAAAATGACAGAGTTGTTTGGGGAAGAAAGATTTGTCACCACACAAAATAACCTTTGTGTTACCTTTAAAAAATCTGTCATGTTTATCACACTTTCTATTTATGCAGTCCTTATGGGAATATTGCCAAACTATAGAGTGGAGAAACTAGGCTTTATATAACAACATCAATATCTCAAAGCTTTTGCCAAGTCTTGTTAACAACACTGAGTGAGAACTGCCAGAGATAGTTGACTAAATTTGCCTACAGTCAACCTTACAGCTTCGCAAAATCCTTTTATATCCATAACAAGCACCCACTAAAATAATTAACTCTGCAGAAGGGGGTCATTTATTGTGTCTGATAGTCTGCAATGCTACTAAAAAAAAAAAAAAACGTACAGATTTCCATGAAATTCGTTAGACAGACAATCCTCAGGCGGTTGAATAATTGATTCAGTTTTGGTGGCGATCTAGATTTGGGATTTCTTTCCTGAGACAATTACCCCATTTAGCCATGACTATCAAAATTGTTTTCAGCCATCAAACTAACCGAGATACAGACAAATCCTAAGGGTATGTTTCCAATAGGAGCAAACTGTTAAGCCCAGTTAATTAAAAATAGGAATGCTATCTTTTGATTTAACCTCAAGAACTGTCTTGCATTTGCAGCACTTTTTGCTCACTTTTTTTTTTCTTCCGTTTTATCCATTTACCTGCTGTTCTAATAATTTGTCTGACAACAATAAGCAAAGACGTGAGAACAGATGGATATGTGATTCTGGCTTTCTCTCTGTTGTCTTCTGATTCACTGTGACCCAGGCCAATCGGTTTGGAGTGAAGGAATCAACAGCCATGCTGGGAGAAGAAGGTTTAAGCTCTCTCAGGATGTAGCCAAAGAAACACATTGTGTACACACCCACATATAGACACATCGACAAATAACAACGTATTTTCTATTCAAAAGCAGTCGTGAGGGTAAAACACGAGGGGTGTTTAATTATAAACTATTGTGGATTAAATAACTAACTCACAAACAACAAAGGAAAAAGGGTAGCATTTTCTATTTCAGCCAAGTATTAATGTGCTGTTAGTGGGGTAGGGTGGAAACGAGAAGGTAATAGCAAGTTATTAAAGCTTAATTTCCAAAATAATATCCAAAGCTCAGTGATATTATATTAAAATTTATGTAACTGGTTAATAACAGATCAGAACCCGGGGGTAATAATGTAGTAACAAGCATGTTGTTTGTTTGGTTAATGTTTCATTTAAGGTTTAAATGTTTGATACTTTTATTTTGAAAGACAAAAGTGGCAGTAATAAAAACGATGGCAGAACGATGGCAGTCTTGTATTTCCAGCCTAAATTCGGCATTCCTATTTTAATAATGCAAACTCTTTGGTCAAGTAAATAAATTTAAAACCTTAAAAATGAGTTTGGGAGTAAGGTCCAAATGCTTGAAAGTAAAATTCTCAAGCATTATCCAAAAACATGCCATATCAGCAATGAATCCAAATTTAAAATTTCTGGTGTCTGCAGTCATCTGTAAAACATGATGAAAGATCTCTCATGGTTTGGAGGAGCATTTCGGCCAGAGGTTTGGGGGATCTTGTCAAATCTGATGAAATTGTGAATACAGAAAAGGACCTTGACGTTTTTATGCACCATTCATCTGGAAATGTTCAGTCTGTCTGAAATGTGCAAAAGTGCTTTTGCACATTTCAACAAATCACTCCACATATTTACCATTTTCTTGGCAAAATATAAAGAAGTGATGGATGCGTAGTACTGTAAATGTTAAATTATTTACTAAACAGCTACCCATTTCCAGTCAACATGCTGAACTTATATAAATTCTTTAGTGACAGATAGAATTTTGCTTATAGTTTGCACATGTCTTTCTCATTGCTGGTGAAATATCATTTTAATGGCATGAAAAGTGTTAAGAAATGAGTAACTTGTCCCTTTAAAGAACATATGATAATTTAAGTGTTCCTCCTACGAATCCAAGATTCTGAATTCTAGCAGTCCAATACTTTTGGGTTGTTTTACTCACATATCTAATTTAAGGTCATAGGGTTGAATTTCTTAAAAATATTTTTAAAAAGGCCAACTTGCCCACACTTTTTATTCATCAACACAAAAACACGCTTTGTAGTTTCAGCTCATTATATGTATACACATAGCGATTTGTAATGGGCAGTACTTACTAAGTACAAGATTCCTAATAGTCCAAGAAAAAGGGAAGTCATGCAGTTCACCTCAGGCTAACAGAGATTATGTCAAGCAAAATAAAACATTTTATAAAAGGCCTACTATTACTATGTAATATAGGCATTATAATACCTATTTAGTATGTGCAACATTATTTTACTGGTATTCATGTGTTATCACTCTTCAAAGCTAAAAATAAAACAAAAACATTCTGAGACAATTTGAAGCTTTTATAGTCTTGCTTTGGAGTGCCACTAAATTTTAGGTTGTGAAGCCCAGAAAAACATGTTTCCCCAGCAACAGGAAATTAACATGACAGTGAAATCAAATTTTGATATTAGTGTAAAAGGCCCTTCTAGTTGCTACCAACATTACAAAGGTGTGACTGCAAATTATAGCGGGAGAAAAGCAGAACAATAAGCAGAACTGCCATTTATGCTTTGAAATAAATATGCATTCATACCCTTCAGGAAATAGCTGCAGCTTGAGGCTTCAGACTTCACAAAGCTCTGCCTCACTGCCTCACTCACTCACTATAACTGTTGATTTAATTAAATATGCTAAACATTTTCTAATATAAACTGAGCTTTCGCAGCGCAGGACACTGATTGTTGTCCTAGTCTATAAATTTGAGGAAACCAGCCTTTGCAGGGCTCGCAACCTTATTGATTTTCCCTCTGAGGCTTATTAGTTTATGAAATCCTGTATTTCCTCTGTCTTCCTCTCCAGACTGAGGAATTGCTTAAGAGGACAATATAAAAGGAACTCAAACCTTGTACCTTTTTTAGAAGAATTGAATAGCCAAGAGCATTTTGTCACAATCTTAGCCTCAATTCTATACCAACAAAAATGTTTAGAAACCAGTCAGAAATATTAGAAGATCATATTATACTGGTTTCTAACTAGCTGCTTAGTGTAATGTAGGGTTCTCTAAACTAGGATGGGCCCTTATTTCAGAAGCCTGGATAAATGTCTATAAATATTATATAGATAATTATGACTTTGGCAATTCTCAACAGTTCTTCTCACTACAGTTCCAATACCGTTTTTATGAGGAAATAAATGCTTCCAGAAGCCTCAGCAGTAGATCCTGCTTAGTGTTAACAGATAATGTCCTGCCAACATGTTAATAAAGATTCAACATGCTGTGTGTGCTAAATACAACATGTTACACAGACGTTAGCCTGGGCTTTATGTTAACATGTTACAGTTAGCATTCACCTCAAAGAAATAACCTTGCCTAAGAACCGTTTCACAGCGCATTAACATGGCTGTAGAAGCGTTTCAGTTCTATGACCAGATGTATATTCACATCCAAAACTGAATTATTTCTTTATCAAAGTACCTGTGCTTCTTACAGGTATCTTAAGAATTTATGGAAGATTTGTAGGGAACACCATTTTTAAAAATGGAGAAACTGATGTTTAGTAGTAAAAAGAGTGCTTTTCTGGGTGATTTATGACATCAAAACTTAAATAACTTAACTACAATGGAATTTATACCGTATCATTTTTTGCACGCCATGCAAAAAATTCCATGCCATTCCATGCACGCAGAACTTCTGAAAGTAGGACTGTTTTTGCAGCAGGCTAACATACATGAATATTTGAGGCTAAAAAAGCTTGTATCACTTAAGATGATGTCAGCCTAACCCGCAGATATGTGTGTCTATCCCAACAACAGCTGGACCTAATTTCTTTTCTCAGTTGGAGTCAGAAGCATACAAAATGAGGAAGAGGGCTGAGAGTTAAGATATTATTTTAGTAGTGGGCCCTGTACCGTGACTATAAATATTTATAAATTTGTCCATAGACAGAGGACACTCATTACAATATCAGAGACGTGTAAAGTTCACTTGCATCTTTGAGATAATTTTCAGTCTGTTATAAGAGTTCAAGGTGGGCTAAAAAAAATCAGCAGCTGGCTCTCCACTAGAACTAGAAAGTAGATAATGTCTACAAGGGTTTCTAGGGGTTCAGATTACAAACAAATATAAACACACATTCCTTGCAAATGCATCTTTTTAAAATCCCATGCACTTCTCATTATAGCTTCCACAGCATTTATTGTTTTAACATCTCAGTCACGCCTGTAATAATTCCCCCACCACGTTTCCATCGCCTGTGCAGTGTGTAGGCTTCCCCCATGTGTGGTTGTGTTGGCATGGAAACAGGAATGACATTATGATGTGTGTGTATTGAATTTTTCACCCTTGTCCCCAGAGTTCCACACAGTGAGGAAGGCCTAACACCATCCCCTCCCCCCACCTATTACATGATAGGGGGGCAGATTCTTTTAAGATCTCAGCAAGCACGTCCATAAAAACGCAGCGCTCTCCAACTGCTATGATCCTTTAAAGTGAGAGCAGACCCTCTGTGTAGCTAACAAATGCTCCTGAATGCTCCCCAGTTTCTGTCTACCAGAACACTCCTGTAAAACGATTTTGTTGATAGGAGGCTTTTGAATAGAGGTCGTACCGTTTGCTGCTGTATGAATGATAATAAGCAGCAAATTATCCCAATCAGTTTCAGGAAATTTCAAGTATTATTTGCAAACCAAATCAACATTCAGAAATGAATAAAATATCCTTCTCTTAGTATGAAATTATCTTCATTACATTGCCCCCTTGTGGCTATTCTATAGAGAGAGCACCAGCCTCAGAAATGACCTAAAGGTTTTAGGCTTGTTGTCCCCATCTAGTGGTAGCACAAGGGTATATAACCGTCCATGTTACTGTGCCTGTTAATCCCCAGAATAAAAAAACAGATCAATTTACCAAGCTGTCACATTTACTTTTATTGTAAAGGTGATATTATTCCAAAATATTAATATGTTAGAGGAACAGAGATAAACAAAATGAGGGAAATACATCTAGAAAACATCTACACAAGACTTTGGTAAGAATCTTGGGACACATTCTTATCAAAAAATTCCACTGCAAAAAAATAATACATTTTCTAATAATGCTCCAAACCATATAGATGTCAGCTGTGGTGCATCTACATGTACAACGACATAGCCGGGTATAAAGTCAAATGGGCTTTTTGTTCCCTAGAAACAACTGAACAACTGAAGGCATATAAAACACTGGAATGGCTGGGCACCTGTGCTTTAAAGTCTGGAATATACTGTACTACTTAAGGATACCACAAGATATAACAGTTCTTCTTTTTATGAAAACAATTTATAGTTCATAATTATATTTTTCAAGATATAATATACCACAACAAGTTTACAGTAATGTTGCAAAAGAGTCATGTCAGAGCTAGTTTGGAAACACAAAAGAATCAGCTTTAAAGTTTAAATCCAGACTTACAGAGAAATGTTTGACTTTTTTTCTTCTGTTAACGACAGCTGACCTGATGTCTGGATTTAACCTACACAGATTCAAGAATGTGTCATTTCAGCCCTAAACAGAGTGCATTGGATCATTGTGCAACAGTGTGCCCTGTACTCTTCCCAGTCCACCCATCCTCCCATCCCCTCCACCCCCTACTCCTTCCTAGCAGGGGTGAACATTACAAGCTCTGATCTCCTTCCTGTCCTTGCAGCTGGACAGCTGGGCAGTCTTAAACTTCTGCTTTACTGTCATGAGGCGTTCTTGAATTCCTCCGCCGCAAATCTTTGTACATTCTGTCCAACTTGACCATGGTCTCATTCTACACCCTAAGAGTAAGAAAAAATAGAAAAAAGAGGTACATTGTAAGTGTTGTAGTCCTGAATCAGCAAAAAGGCTGTTGGATACCAACCTGGATGCTCGGAGTTGCCTTCAGCTCTGCCCTGTTTGCTCCTCCTCTTTTCACGCTGTTCCTTGCGACGTTTCTTCTCATCACTGTTGCCTTGTCCTCGGTTGCACTTCCTGATTTTGCACTTTTTCCGCTGGATCGCTTCGGGACAAGGATCTCCGCCAAACTGAGGCTCAAGCATCACCATGCGTGTTCGGATTGTATGACCTTTCCCACAGGACTTATTACACTCTGACCACTCGCTCCACTCTGACATGACACAGTTTATGGCTAAGAAGAAATACGAAAAAAAAAAAAGCCGTAATAATGAGTAACCGTACAATAAATCACACGATGACACAAAAGTAATGAAGGACATTAGTTTTAATTTCTGTATCAAATTTTAGTTAACATTTGGATCACTGTCTTGGAGAAAAGTTTTATCCCTGTGAAGATTCAAGATATGCCTTGACAGAATCCAATACTCTGAGTCATTATTTAAGAGAATCCATGATAATTACCATATAACAAGACAGACATTTCAGTGGTTCATTCATGCAGAAAGTTCAGTCTAGTCTTATTTCATTTGTTGAAATAGATCTCAAGAACTCTCAAAAGCGTGACAAGCAGACTTTTTGCTTTTTTCATGTTCAGACAGGTTCAGGAAGGGTTAGGCATGTTGCTACTCATATCTATATCAATATACATCAACGCAATGAGAATAAACAAGAAACTTAAAATACACAAGATAAAGACCAACTCTGCTTATCTGCCCTTTCTTACTGTGAGAGAAGTCCCCTTATGAATGTAAATGTTCACATGAAGACGCAAGTTTTCATAACAAGTATTAGATGATAAATGACATAAATTAATAAATTAGAGATGAACATGTTCAGTGCTTGGTTAATTTCATTACTTACGACACTCTGGTAGCATGCACTTCTCAACCTGTTCTAATTCTTCTGTACACTCTCCCAGTTCCACAGGCGACTTGAGCATACGCTGCCGTGTCCTCAAACCCTTCCCACAAGTTACACTGCAATCACTCCAGTCAGACCATGGAGTCAGTAAGCAGGGAATTGTATCTAAGCCAAAGAAAAGCATATACTTTTTCTCATTTGCTTAGATGAATGCAATATCAAACATATTCTACAACCTGGTTTCCAAATGAATTTGTGCACTGTGTAAAGTTTAAATCAAAAAATAATAATAATAATAAAGCAATGCAGAATAGTACAAAGTGAAATAATACCAAGTCAACTTATGAAATGTTAAGACTGAGAAATTTGATTTGATTTAAAATATATATATATGTTTGAATTTTATTCCAGCACTGTGTTGTATTACCACTTCTTTTAATAACACTGTATTGAATTTGGGAAGTGAGGAAACTCAAAGCTGTAATCCCGTTCTGTTCTTCCTCACTCTCTCTCTATCTGCCATAGGCTATTTTTTTTTTTTTGTAAGTGGATGGTCTGGACTGTAGACAGCCCAGTTAAGCACCATTTTTTATGGGTTTTGACCTTATCTGTAATGAACTAAACCAGCATCTTGGCAATGGTTTTCTAAAGTATACCTGACTCTATGCTGTGATATAGTGATTTGCACTACAGAATTGTCTTTTAAATGCCGCGCTGCCAAAGTTCTTAATCTCATAGCTGTTTTCATTTTTTGCCGTGTACATTTTATTCTGATATCTCGTTGGATCCTCTGAATTATTTAATTATATTATTCAACACAGGTGACGATATGCTCAAACTGATATCAACAAAGGTTACAAAAAATATAATAATGTTTTACTATTTTTCTGCTTTATTTCTATTAAATACTTTGTAGTTAAACACCTGGTGGACACCTATTACAGAGACATAAAAAGTACGAATACTGTTAATTTAGCACAGCTATGGCATAAACCATTGGATGATGGTCTAATGAACTTGTTACGCACTGTATAATCTATGTATTTTTTTTTACAAAAAAGGTTCAAATTTCTTAGTTGTAACATTTGACATTTAAAAATATTGCAGCAAGTAAATACAGTTTATTAATTATTTTATCATTATTGTATTCAGATGTTATTTACATTTTTATACAGCATCCTGACTTTTTTGGAAAGTTGTAACAAATGTTTTATTTTAAATGCAATCAAAACTTATAATTGAAACTTGGAATGAAGGCACTAGAAAGTTTGTCATGAGGGAACAAGGGGAAAAAATTCATTTCAAATGACAGAAGTTCAGGCAATGACTACAGGAAATCCATTTGGTTATATCAAAAAATAGTTTTAACACTTTACATCGTGTGAAAACACTGACTGCTGAAATATATTGTAATTGGTGTAGATAGTGTTAATGGGGCAATTTTCACCAGATTTTCACCGTAGGAGGTTTTAGGATAGTTGTGGACTGAAAATGATGCTACTCACGACATTCTGGCATCATACACTTCTCCACTTCTAGAACCTCTGCCCCACATATGGAGCCATCTGCAGGCGGCATCTTCACCATTCGCTCTCTCCTCTTCATGCCAAGACCACAAGTGGCACTGCAGAAATCCCATTCACCCCATTCTGTAACTAGGCAACTACTGGGAGCTAAGACCAAGAGGAAAGTGCACGGTACAGAAAATTCAGTGTTACTTACAGTTGAGAAGTAATGTGTTGATATGAAAGTTTGATAAACGGAAAATGAACGCAAAAACTCACAGCATTCCTCATTTACCACACAGTTTTCAGTCTCCTCTGTGGGCAAAGTGCAGATTGAGCCATCATCGGGGAACTGTTTAACATAACGCTCCCTGGAACGTGTCCCTGCACCGCAGGACACACTGCATGGAGACCAGGTTATCCACTCTGACATCATACAAGTGGAAGCATCTTGAGAGTCAAAGGAGAAAGATGAAGCAGCCAATGAGTCCAACAAAGGCAACAGAAAGAATTATGAATTTTGACTGCACATAATCACAAATTGCATTGTATTTAATGAAACTGCATATAAAATGTTAATTGTGTTAAATATTCTTGGACAGTATAAGTGTGGTGCCCTTGCAAATGATTTACACAGAATGATTTGGCTTATAATCGAATCTCCCTGAATGACGCAGTTGTGATTTGCTTTTCTGTATTTCTGTTTTCATATATAATTCCTATGTTAACTATAATATTGTTTGTTGTTCCATACTGTTAATCTTTTATCTCTCTACTGTCTGTTGAGGCAGATGGCCTGTATCCCTGACTCTGATTCTCCTGGAGGTCTGTTATAGTTAAAAGGGATTTTTTTTTCTCCCCCTTGTTGCCAATTGGTTGCTCATAAGGGAATAGCTGAGTTTCTTTATATAATATCTACAGATCTTGATCTCATTAGCAACTTTGACAAAGCCAATATGACTATGGAAAAAAAGTTGCTTTCAAATTTATGGTAATTATTAAAAATAAATTTCAAAGTGGAATAACACTATTGTATCGTTCATGATGTTAAGTGATATTAGTATTATTATTAATACGAATGCTCTAATCATTCTTACTTTCTTTTTATCATCATAAGTTTGATTGTACCAGAAACACAAATAAAAAAAAGTAAGAATGATGTTAGTGCAGACTCACTGATATTGCCCGTTCCAAATATAAATAAAGAATTGGCCTTTTTACCGTTTTTTTTCATAATCATTTGTTGTTAAAAGTGAAGGATTTGACAGAGAACAGGAAAATAAAAATGGCTTGAATGTAGGCATCATGCCTGTTTTAAATGTGGGCGCAGTCTTAATGGACAGCTGAATTCCTCCCATTATTTATTCATACGTGTCACGAGTCACCTCGAAATACAGAGCACCAACACCTTTTCTCCAAGTGTAATAAATGACAAACTAATGGCTAGGTGAAGTCTGAAAACATAAAACAAGTCTAACCCAGCCCTGAGGCAGTGCAAGTACCTCCGGAACACAGAGTACAATTTACAGCCAAATGTCTCTTATAAATAAATATGCTTAATGGCCTCTTCGAAACAAAGTGTTCTCTTCGCCTGTCTTTCTACTCTCACGTACTTGCTGCTGTTGAGTGCTACCTCGGGTATTTTATGAATAACAAACAAAAGAAGCATTTCAAAACATGCCATAACTTTTTCAAGACATTAATGGGTACGATAATTATCACAGATATTAAAAAGGCTCGTAAAGGTGCTCAGTGGACGGGGAATCTGTGGAGGAATCTTAATTAATTACACTGTTTCTCCATCTTCAAAGCAGTCTTCTACTTTTTTCTGGCCAACCCAGTGCGATTAGTTTTTTTTAGATAAATACCCACCCTCATCACTACATCCAGGCCCCATGCAAGGCTCAAAATCCTGAGTGTGTGGGCAGGGAACACTGAGGTCCAACTGTGCCTTCAGCATCCTCTGCCTCATTCGTTTGCCCTTTTCACAAGTGGCCGAGCTGCAGGCAGACCATGGAGACCAGTTTGAGTAGATACATGTCTCAGGAGTATCATCTGCAGGATAGAAAGGGGAATAGGCGTTCTATAATAGCCTACCATTGTTAAGTGTGCTTTTAATCTTGTGTGTGTGAAAAAGAGAAAATGGAACAGGATGCAGACCTTCCTCTTTCTCCTCCTGGGCAATATCTGCTACAATGTCATCCACATTGTCTGGGACAATGTTGCACTGTTCACCCTGTGAACACAAGAAAGACATTTATATTGCTACAATAGTCCACCGCTGTGTGAAGTGTTGCTCTGGGTTTCTGTTTATTCTTGTTCAGTCCTTCTATTCACCTCCTAGGGCTATCAGAACAAGCAGAAGCACACAGGTAAGAAAAAGGTCACCATACATTTAAAATGATCCTAGTTGTGGTAGGCACACAATATAGATAATGACTATAGAGTACAGGAATGCATTTCATAATTTGTGGATGTCAACACAGAATCATGCCTAAAAAAATACCCACAGCTGCCTCTAGATGCCACTGAAGGACTGCTAACCTTTGAGCCCTCTTGCAGCGATAATGTTTCATCATTCCTCATAATTGAAAAAGCTTAATATCCTGTAGAAAACTAATTTAAATACCTGCATTAAATGTTTAATTAACTAAATGTTTATGCTGCACTTCCTTCACAAGCTGTACTGAACATCACAATACTACTGCTGCACATATTGCTACTACTGATATCATTATAAGAGAAAATAATTTTAATTTTTTAAATAAAATATTAAACTGAACCACTAATTTGTTCATAAGTGGTTTAAATATACACATTTTTTTCACCGTACTGCCCTAACAGAATACAGGAAGTGAATAAAAAATGCTCCCTGAGCTTTTTTCTTCATGTTTGGGGCGGAAACCCCTTCATCTCCCCCTTCATAAAGGAATCACTGGATTGATGAGTTTTATTGTGCTGTAATGGAGCTTTCTTCAGATCACCAAACTGATTGCACTGAAACACTTTTCACAACTAAAATACAAAGTTGGGTAATCTATAAAAAACAGAATGATCAACTGTAAACACTGTTTAATGACTAAATGTTTAGCTTTAGAGGTCGGTGTATGCCTGTCATAATGAAATTGGGTGCATTATATCACTATTCCATCAAAGACACAACCAAGACTTGACTGTTAGGAAAACAGACAAACCTTTCTGGCAATGCGTTCCACCATCACCCTCGCCACAGGGGTAATAGCACCCCCCTCAGGATCATAAAAAGGGCTTTGTGGATGATCCAGACTGGTTAAGGGACGGATTTTTTCCTGGGGCACACTAGGCTTGTTGGGAGACTAAAAGAACCACAGACAAAGAAGGAAAAAGGGGGAAAAATACATGAGCCACAAGAAAGTGGAGCTTTAGGATTTTAATAATAACACTCTGACAATACTTCTTTGAAAAATACATTTTCACGTTAAGGACAGTGAGCGCAAAGTCACAAAAGTTACACAAAATGCAAGTTGAACAAAGGACATGTTTCAAAGTCAGAGAGCAGCTGTGGACGAGCAGTGTAGTTTATATGGGAGCTACTCTCAGTCAACAGTAAAGGTCTGCCAGCAGGGGGCTGATAGAAGCACCACCGCCAGAGGCAGTCTGGAGGCAGAAGACCAGCTCATCCTTCAACCCCCACTGAGGCCACCCAAAAGAAAAATAGAGAAAGAGTAGAGCTGTTTTTGTTTGTCAGAGAGGGAAGGATAAGCAAAAAGGTGAAGAGTGGTCATTAATCAACCGTTACTGTAAAAGTAAAATGGTTGAGACTTGATACTATGTTACAGACCTGTGCGTTTAACAACTTTGTAACAAAGATGCAACGTCTCATCCTCCCAGAATAGCAACAACAGACTTCTTAAAAAGCTTTAGCACTACTGATATGGTCATTTCTTATTCTCAACAACACATAGTTTTATATCTCAATACTTATTTTATTTTGGCAATATTTAAATAATGGAGATTAGAACAGTGGAGCCTTTTCATTGCGCTGAAAATGATGCATTTGGATAGAGTAAACTTAAGAGTGCACCGCATTACTTAGATCCTAAAGACAAAATGAACATTTGTGTTTAACATTGCTCCAATACATACAGTTCCAAGAAGGAA